AGCTCCCTGCAGTTCCCTACAGCTTGCCTGTCTGCCCATGGGTACTCACAGCCTAAAGTGTGAGTGCTGGGGGGAGAGCAGTGTTTTCAAACTACACATGGGCGTAGCCACTTGTCAGTTCAAGTGGGCTTCTCAGAAAGTCAGAGGGGCTGAATGGGAGTGGAGGAAGGGAAGTTGTGCTACTTTAGAGAGGTGGAGGTGGCATGCAAGAGCCCCAGGTAGGTGGTCTGAGTGGAAGAGAGTGAGCCTGGGCAACGTGCATCACACATACAATTTCTTAAAAGGAGATGGCAGCATGATGAAAGCCCAGCTTTGAACGCCTTTGGTGTCACTGTCACCAGAGGTCTGTGCTGGAAGATGTTCGGACTTTTGTGGATCAAGAATTCATGTCTATGTCTGAGTGATGCAAAAGCAAGATGTCTGACAAAAGGTGGGGCATGTGATGGCTTCATTTTTTAATGTCACCAGGGCAGATTGGTTAGATGCTTACAACATACAGCTCCTGAAGTTGCTTTCCACTTTCAAGCATATTGAATCTGTGCCCATGCTACACAGCTGTTGTGCATTACATGTGTCCACAGGGCAGACAATTTTGTTGTTGTTTTTGAGTGTTAACAAAGTCCATCTAACGTGTAATGCTCTAGTGGAAGCTTTACAGTATTCGGAGCTGTATCTAGAGTATTGCTTCAAAATAAGTCTAGAACTTCGCAAGTTGGAGGATACGAGACAACGGTCAAAATTTAGATTGTTTTTTTTCTGTCAGACTATTCTCCCTTGGGTTGAAAGCAACCAGGAACAAAATCTATTTGGCACCATGATCCCGTTGATCGTTCAAAAGCAACAGCTGGCACTGCTAGCAGAAGACCAGCCAAGAGCTATTCTGCATAATCAGAACTAGATTTCAAACCAGATGGATGTTATCCATAATGTTATTTGGAGAATAGCACTTTTTAGTTGAATGCACAATAAATTATTGCCTTTAGCTTTAGTTTTGGCTCTGACTGACGGTGGGAGTGGCATTTTAATTTGTATTATAGTGAGGACAAATAGAAGGCAAAGTGAGAGTCAGACACTAAAACAAGAGAATGAAAATGAGAAACACTGGCACAGTATTTCCCAACAGAACAAGAAGCATGCTGAGAAACTCTATTTAACAACCATATTTCATTAAAATGTGCTGAAGGAATGTGACCCCAGACTGAAAATGAGGACACTAAGTTTTCTTGTGAGACAAACAGTATCTGAAGTCCTATGTGCCTTTGGACGTGATTAAGAATTTTTTCCCCACCTTGCTTCTCGGTGTATCATATTACCCGAAGTGCAGACAAATGTGACTTTATATAGACTATCAGAAAAGAGAAGGAGTGAAACCTGTCTGTTCTAGAAGCAGCTGACTTTTGATTACCCTGAAAAATTACACTAGTGTAAACACTTTCAGCTCTTGTAGAGAGTCTTGGGTAGACTATTTCTGACTTTCTCTTAATAATCACACAAGGAGTGCTTCTATCCAGTCACCTCAAAGTAGTTTACAATGATAGACATTAAAGATGGAGAGAGAGCTTCACAAAAGAGTGGGAAATTTTTGGTTGACTTTGTGGAAGAGGATCAAGACACAGTTTTTCAAAGAAAATGTGGATTCTTATTTTTCCATCTCTGCTCCAAACCTGCTGTGACCGGTAAGCTGTATTATCTCAATCTGCACAAGAAAGGGAGACCAAGGAAAACTTTCAAGCCAAAATTTTTCAGATTCTGCAATGCTTACATCTTCCAAAAGCTTTCCTTCCAAGTACAGGCCAGTCATGGGTGTAGGAGAGGAGAGGACTCCCTGTAACATTGGCTGCGTACGCAGGAGGTGCCTGTTCTGTTTGTTCATTTTTCCCAAAGAGGGGCATCATCACTGTCATTTAAAAGTTAGCTGTCCAGCCTCTGCTGTGGGCTGTGGAGAAAGCTGGACCCTCCCAGAAGGTGCTTGTACCTTGGACCCCTCCAGTCACCAGGTGACTAGTTTAGACTAAGTTGCCCAGCTCTGAGGTGGCTGACGGTGGGAGATGAGCATCCTATCTCCTGTTTCCACCCATTCCTACTGCCCACCCTCCTCGAGGGTCTGAAATATGATATGTCCCTACAGGGTTAGGTGTAGGGCTGTCCTTGGTTATCCTGTGGTCTGGCAGTCAGGCAGGGAGGTCTTGTGAAAGGTTCAGGTGAAGCCAGGAGAGTTGCTCTGGTATCTCATGGAGGACAGCAAACCACAGTTTCTGACCAGAAAGGGTAGAATCCATCATACTGAAAATATCACTTCTGTGTGAAATGAGGAGACCTACTTTGGCTTTTACTGTCAGTGCGCTTTATAATAGCTCCACACGTGGCATTTCCCTGCAGCCCAGATGAGCCTTATGTTCAACTCTGTCACATTTTCAGCATTTCTCCTCCCTCTCCCCCATCCTTGCCCCATTTTTTGTTGAACATAGGGGTCCAGGGTGACTTAAAACACTGGGCTTTCCAGCGGTGTGATTCACTGAGAAGCTAATTGACTTGGTGTAGTTTGTTAGCAGCAGAAAATGTGCTCTGGTGAGTGTTTGCTGGTGTCCTGCTGTGTCTGTTGCTGTAGGCTCTCCCTACAGACATTACAGTGGGTACCTGCTCAGCATGGAGAGATGGCATGACAGTGGGTCTCTGATCTGGAGGAATAACATGAGTGAGCCTCCCGGTGGTGCTAGTTTTCTCCTGAATGGCTAGGGGGGAGAAAAAAAATAGTGACTCTTGGTAATTGTCCTTGTCCTCCATCTCAAATCTCATAACAGCACACTCCTTTACAGCAGGGTCTTCTGGTGGGCTATGGGGTATGGGGGAGAGATGGCTGGCATGCATTCTCTAACACATGCACAGAGGAAGGCAAAGGAGGAGTCTGGGAATTAAAAAGTACAGAGAGGCAGGGGGAGAATGGAGGGCAAGGAAGAGTTTCCCTTTGCACGGTAGGTGTGCTTTGGAGAAGGTGAAGAGGCTTTTCACTGAGGTGTCTGTGACCCTGGGAAACAGTGGTGGGGAGGCCATTGCACAGAGATCGCTCCAGCTAGGCACAGTGTGCTGCTTTCCAGGGGAGAGGACCTCCTGCTTTCCACTCCATCATTACAGCTGCTGCTTTATGGTATTAACTCTTCCTCAGCTGTTTGCAGGGAGACTTCTGCCAGATGAGAGCCAGCTGGTGCTGGGACCTGTGTAGGCATTGGGTTGCAGCAGCTGGTGATAAAGCTCCCCTTTAGTGGTATCCTGTCAGTCAGGGCTAGCAGTGCTGGCAAGGTGATCCTGCCTCTGGTATTTAGTCTTGAAGGAATATGTGATACAGGAGCAACAGATTACTCTGGGCTTTGCAACTGCCCTGCCCTCCAAGAAACATAACCAGCACACAGTTTTGGAGAAGAGCTGCCAGCAATATGTGAACATAACTGGATGTCTTCAACCACACAGCATATGGCAATCTGTTTGCTGTGTTGCCCAAGAATTAAAATGTTGGTAGGTTTTGACATTGTCTGGATATTGCAGGATTTTTTTTATTCCCTTTACATATCATTTCTGCAACAGCCTTGAGGTCCATCAGTGCTATCAAGCTGTTTCTTTTTCTTCATCAGTCTCATGGGTTAGCGAAAACACCCTCACAGTATTCCTAAGCTGTTTAGTGACTGAGCACCCAGACCCTAATTCTAACTGGGTTGTCTGTGTGACTGAAAAGAGTGATGGGAAAATCCCCAGAGCCTGCAGCACTCAATCCAATAACCTGCTGATCTCAGCTGTGTCCCACTGGAGGGAGATGTCACAGCCTCACCTGGGAGATCCCAAGTCCACAGACTCATTTCTACGTTTTTCTCTGCGCTATCAGCCACAACGGTCCCAGTTCTTTCCAGCAGGGATGGAAGGTACAGCCCTTTCCCAGCAGAATTTGCAATTTAAGGTTAGGACATATGTTTTGTTTCCTGGAAAGCAGCACAGCCATAGTGGATCTTCAGGAAAGGGTTGCCTGTGGGACCTTGCTCTGAGGGGAGTAGACCCAGATGACAGCACTGCAGAAAGCAGAGCAATACGTACTGAGAAGCTGTCGAATGGACACTTATAAACTGAAATGTTGACAGGACAGGTAAGATTATGAAGAAGAGCTGGCTGAGAAGGGTGCAGAGCTATGAAGAGCTTTCAGTGTAGTGCTGATAAAAATCTTGAATTTGATGAGAGGAGAGATGAGGGGACGTGGAAGAGAGACAGGTATGATCTAGTCAAGCAGCAGGAAGTGTGATTTTTTTTTTTTTTTTTTTTTTTGCTTTCTTCGGATGGATTGCTTTCCATGTTGGGAGAGCTTTCGATGATTTGTTTTCAATGGATCAGGAAGAAACCATAGAATGGTTTCAGGTTTTTGACAGGTATCTGGATGCCTCAAGATGTAGGGCAAAGAATGGCAGGGAAATTGTGAATATAATATGCTTTTGAAAATGCCACTACTTGCTGATTTTTGTGTTGTTTGCCTTTTAGATGCTTCTGAATATCTAGCCCTATAATTCAGCTAAACTCAAACTCCAGGTATTGTTAATACAGGAAACCAGTGCTTTGGAGATGCTGCCCATACCCAGATTTTCAGTCTCCCCAGCTGTTGGGGTTTACTTGAGGTTTATGCTCAACCTTTCTCCTCCAGCTTGGAGGCCCTGGTGAAATGGAAGTAACAGCATGTTTCTTTGTCTTCTCACAGAAGTGGAAAATGAAAGGCAGTTTCATTCAACACTTTGTCAGCGGTCTCTGCCTGGAAAACCAGACTGGGAGAGTGGTGACCAACCCTTGCCAAGCAGATGTACCTGGCCAACAGTGGGAGCTGCTACAAGCAACATGATGGTAGCACAGAGATCTCCTTGTTTCTTTGTGCATGAGACTTTGGGAACAGAGAGGGATCGGGAAGGGAGGAATGGTTTTATATGTCTGACCCTAAATGTTTTCATTGTGCCCATCTGCAAGCCACCATTTCAGCTGAGCACTTGGTGTTTTTGAGCTTTTCAGAGAAGAAGCTGGGGGTGAGAGAGGGATGAGGAGAGTTGTTGAAATCTTCCCATCTGTTGTCTTAAGTTCTCCTTTGTAGCTGTTGTCTGTGCACAGCTGCACCCAGAGAGGGGGGAGGACCCAGCCCAATACTTGGAGTGACTAGAACTGCCTTGCAGCTCTCCCCATCCATTCCTTTCTCTGCATCCAGAGTCCACGACCTTCAGTCAGCTTAAACAATGCTTATACAAACATTGGTAGCTCTTCAGCTTCCCTGGCTTTTCACTGTAACATCGTGCATCGTTCATGCATGTGTGTCTCTTGGTGAGGACTGGCCAGAAGAAGAGTCATCATGGTGTGTGGGGCTGGGAAGGAACTAGCAGACCCTGTGGGCAGGTTTGTAACCTCTTTGTGGTGGGCCTTTTCCTTCCTCTGCCTGCAGTAGCTGCCCTACAGCCAAATGGGCTGAGGTTGGGAAATGGGACACGATGCTGACAACAGAGCTGGAAAAGGGACAATCTGGTTTTGGAGCATAACCAGGGATTGGTTTGGGGACTATTCCCTGTTGAATTCTTGCTTCCAGTTTTTTATGGGTGAAAGGCCACCCTTGCCTCCATGAGTGATCCAAGCCAGCAGGCAGCCCAGCTGGAACTGGGTTCAGGGTACCACACTCCTGCGGAGCTGGCCACAGACAGGTGCCAACACTTTGGGATGGTGGGGAAGCTGGGACCATTCTTTGGCTGCTCTTCCTGGTGCTACCAGACACTGCCCCTTGCACCCCCCACCGAGGGTGACACGCAGAGCTGTGTGGGCAGTGCACTCTGACAGTGCCACTGCACTTGGCTCAGGCCAGTAGCAGTAGCACACCCAGTTCCCCGCTGCAAGAGGCAGAAGGGGACAGCCCCTAGGTCATTGCAGGCTTCCTGCTGCTGGCTGGGCAGGAGCACAGCCCTCTTGCTGGCTCTCCAGCTCTGCGTGGCCCTTGTGAACACAGGCTGGCATGACAAGCCACCCAATCCCTCTGTCTAGTTGCTTTTCCCCCTCTCTCTCAGAAAGAGGAGGTGAAAAGGCCTGGGGCTGCTCCACTTGAGACGCCCAGCTCTCCTCCCAGTGGGCACCTTGAGGAGGTTAGTTGGTGAAGCTGAAACTGCCCCCTGCACAAATGCTGCCACAGTACAGGCCTGCCCTGAGAGATCTCTCCTTCCTGTTCCGTAAATACCAAAGACAACTGGTGTCTCTAGCTAACATCTTATGTCCTAATGTCCTGCTCCCAGTTACCAGTCAGCTGTAGCTAACTGTGGGTTTTCACACCTGCCAGGGTAAGCCTACCTATTCAAATAAAAAAAATCCCCCCAACATTACTTTTTCCTACTAGAACTGTTAAATTTTCCTCTTGGAGCTAGGTTTTGTAAACCAACCCTCTTCTCTATGAGCCTGGCAGGGGAACCAGATGGTGGAGCCACCTTCAGTAGGCAATTGCTTGCCTGGATTCTTTCTGATCTGGTGTAAAAGAAACAGGATGTTCATTTGGATTCTGAACAGCTGGCTGCTTTTGGTCATGCTTGTGTCCCTTTTTAATTCTTTCTTCTACCTTGGTATTAGCCCAAACAGTTGACAAAAGAACACATACTGTTCTTCATGTGTTGCATGTGCTCAAAAGTGCTTATGTGAGAACTGGATGGTTTGGGTTTTGATCTCAGTTCTTTTATTTAAAAAATTAAATCAGCCAGGTGGCAGGAACTCTTTTTCCTGTTTCCCCCTTCACTTTGACATCAGATCACCATCTTGACGCTGATTAACCAGATGAATGAGGTGCCTGCACTGTGAAAACTCAGGAGACAGTTTGGTCCCAAGTTTACAGCATGGTGCAGCCACACTTCTGTGTGGGAATGGGGGCACTGACTCTGCAGAGATTTCTCTTCCCCTATATAGAGATGCTTTGGGCCTGAACCACCAAGGCCAGAGAAGAGCAGAGAAGGAAAGAAAATAGCCTAGGAACAGAAAGAGGGTAGGGTAGGGCAGGCAGACCCATCAGGGGGAGAGATGCCATCCTCCTAGCAATTGCTTTTTTAAACAAGAATATGCAGGAGATTCTACTTCCAGAACAGCATCATTAGGCAGTAGGAGACAGGAACAGTTGAGTTACCACATACCTGGCTTGAAAAATGTTGATGCAAAGACAGATGAAAGGCCATTGAGCAGGTACTGTACTTAAGTTGTGTATACAATGAAGTGCTAAAGGATTACTTATTTTCATCAAAATGCATCCTAAGTGGACCATCTGAGCTTTCCCCATTTCACTCTCCAGAAGCTTAAGGGTTGCAGCTAACAGCATGTTCACTCCTCCACCAGGTACTGCTTCCTTCCTTCTTGCTCCCACTGTGTGTGTGCAGCTTTCTTGCAGTTCCTTCTTCATAATCGTACTGGGACTAGGACCCAGCTCCTCTACAAACAATTCTCCTGACTGCTGCAGACCACAGGAGCCCTGCTTATATACAGTCTCCAAGCCTTGGGCCAGCCCTGGTTCAAAGGGCTCTTGTCAGCACGCTGGCTGCTGCCCTTGACTTCGTGCTTGGCTCCCGTGTTGGAGGTTAGTGACCGCTCCTGGAGCAGGGGTACCTGGATGAGCTGTGTTGGTTTGTGCCTCTCTTCCTACTGCTGACCACCTGGCAGAGTGTGAACTGGCATCCAGTTGGGGCTGTGACCTGGGGCAGCTGAAGACAGGACGCTCTCCTTCTTCAGGTGCCCTGGCCTGGAGGAGAAAAGGGAAAAGGTGGGCATATGCTAGGTTTCAATAACTTAAAATTGCCTCTGGAGTTAGGGGCTACCAGAGCCCTAACTCCCCCTGGCTTTGGACATGTTCTCCTAGGGTCGTCTCCCCACAGCTTACCCCACTGTCAGCTAAAGCACTGCTCACAGGACCTTCCTGTAGGCTCAGTGCAGGCCTCCCCTCACATCATCTTCTGGAATCCATTGGTTTCCAGTGGATTTTAGCAACTGCTGAAAAGGAGGTATGTTACAAAAGGCTGCTCTCAAGCGTGGGCAAACTAAACTTCTCCTCAGAATAAACAAAGTTCTTGTCCAAACCAATTATTGGCATAGTTTCCATTTCCCTTGCACTGAAGGGAAGGAGGAGCGATGTTCTATGTCCTTTTTTCCCCAAGGTCCACGCAGTGCCATGTTTTGAACCAGGGCTCCAGTGACATTTTTGAAAGCAAACTGACTGAGCCCTCAAATTTGGCCCAGTGATTTGTTTCTTTAACAGTCAGAACAAGCAGCTGCTCACCCTTGTTTTCCTGTTTACTTTAAACAGCCCCCTAGACTGTCAAGACAGAGCATTTGCATTGGTAACATTCTTTAAGAAAGCTGTTACTGCATCAGATCATCCGATGTAATTTTGTGTGCTGTGAACCAATGGGGGTTTATTTAAGAGGAGCTGAAACTACTGTTGTACAGAACTCAATTTCAAAAGGTTTATTTTCCCCACTCAGTTGTAAGTTGCACTTTGCCAGATGTAATTTATGTGGAGCCCAGATTTGTTTTCCCTTTTCTTGAAGAAAGCATGTGCCAGAATCTGTTTAATGCCTGGAATAAAATCCACTTTGAAACAAGTGTTTCAGCCTGTTCTTATTCCCCCTTACCTCCCATTGGAAAAGAGCCTCCATCCTTTCTTGCCTGGTCCCTTGCCTCTGTCTCTCACTGGGTTTGCGTCCCCAGACAGACATACCCCAGTCCTTTGCATGGGTTCCTGGGTTACTTCCAGAGGGATACTGCGAGAGCTGGCAGAGGGATTTGTAGGAGAGAATAGCGTATCAGTTGAAAATGACTGAAGAATCCCCCCTCAGCTGGCTAGGCAGGAAAGTATCCTTTCTGGCAAAAGCCAAGAGCAGTTAATGGGCTGGCTTTTACATGCTGAATTGGGGGGAATTAATTCTTCCTGTTACTCCCTCCTTGATCTTTCCCTCAGGCTATCAGCCTGCCTATTCCTCACTGAGCCTCCCAAAGGCCTTTCTGCTGCCTCTGGCTTAAATACTCAAACTCATCGCCACCCACAGATGCCTGCTAGCCTGTGTGCTGCTGAGCCTCAAATACCATGACTCCCCAAGTAGGCTGGTAAGCTTTCCTAATCTTACCTTAAAAAGAGCCAGAAAGATCAATTCTGAGGCTTTGAGTTTAAAATCAGGGCTTAACTGCCTGCTAGTTCAACCCAAAGAGGCTTTTTCAGATGAAGATCGGCTGGGTCTGCCTCTACAGAAAGCAGCCCTGCCGGAGCCCCTGTCTAGGAAAGGAGGGTGAGGGTGTGCTGGAAGGTAGCTGGTGTGGGGGGAACCGGCGCTTCCCCTAGCTGCCTGGGTATGTGTCTGGTGTTTGAGTGCTCCGGGAATTCGATAGAAAGGAAAAAAGTTGGGGCTTTCTCTCTTAGTGCTGCTTCTGCATCAGGACATCAGTGGGGCCATGTCCCCAGAGCCCTGCCATCCACACCCTGAGTGATGCCCGCTGTAGTGCCCTAGAAACCAGGAGATTCTTGGGCTGTAAGGATGGCTGGGAAAGTCTTAATTAGTCCTGTTTAGGAAAATGAAATATTGATCTTCTGAAGAGCCAAACTGGGCAGGGGAGAAAGGAGTGCGGGATGGGTTCCCCTCTGAGGAGGACAGGGTCAGACATGCAGTGATCTGGCACATAAATGAGGTAGAGAGGACTTTGGAGTAGAAAGAGTTGCGTCAAAGGGAACTATAACCACGTGTACAGAAAATAATAGGGGAGTCATTTCTTTGCAGGAGGTTAAAAATGTAGAAGCACCACATCCACAGTGGTGATGCTGTTGGGTCAAATTTGGTAAATGCTTTGTCTCAAAAG